GCTGCTGTTTGGTGTGGGTCTCCTTTAAAAGCACTGCCATTTCACTTCACCATGGATTGGTTGGTTGGTTAATCACTTTTTAACTGTGCAACTCTCTTGGTTTTTAATACTAACCATATTTCAGAGCAAGTTTAATATCATAATCATCTAATCCCTCCGTCCTAAAATATAAGGGATTTTAGATGAATGTGTAGATATATCACATCCATCTAAAATCCCTTATATTTTGTGACGGATGGAGTATTAGTTTAAAAAATTAACCCATATCATCTATAGTATACTTAGTAGTTCACTCATACAATATATTTACCTGTAGATACATATTACACCACTAATACATACCCCCACATTTTTATCTCACATAGGTTATTGGAGCCCGTGGTGCAGCTGGCTATAAATTTGTAGCCCGTTTTTTCTCTCTCCTCCACGTAAGTATAAATATGATGTGGCAATATGTAGAGCCCGCTTACATCATCTTATTGTATCCGCTCTGATAAACACTCTCATGGTAATATTTGTGTTTTGCAAAATGAAAAATACATTATTCCCAACTTCCCATATCCTCTCATATTTTTACTCCAACTTTGATTTATGTAAATTTCCTCTGTTCCTAGATAAGTCTCACTCCATGTAGCATAAATCATAGAACAACCTAAGTACGTAATAATTGAGCTGATGGATTTATTTGGAAACCAGTACTATATGTACTACAAAAGTACGAACCATGAGCAATGGGATCCACCACCTCCTAAAGATTCCTCTTGTTGGGATAATTTCCATTCACAAGTGAAGTAACATAACTTATGGATTTGCTGAAACCAAATTAAAGGGAAATTGTGTTTATTTTTCTGCAAAAAAAAAAGAGAGAGAGAGAGAATCATTGGTGCTAGCTCTGTTTTTTTTTTTTTGCCTGTGGAAACTTTTATTGTTCTAGAAGATTAGTTACACTGTTGTTATTGTCACATTTCTTGATATGCAAGCTCTGTAGCGATGAACACCAAAAGCTTTATTGTCATCACCATCACAATCTTTTTCAATTCTTTTTGGTACAACAAAATCGGATCATGACTTGGGAGGATGTTTCTTTTCCATGTCTCCCCTTTTAGTGATACAATGCTGTTGGGCCATGATATAAGCCATACATGCATGATAGTACAGCAACTTATTTCGTGTCTCAGCAGAAATAGGAAATATGGTAAGCTCAAAATGAAATCTTATTAAAATGTGATACTAGCTTTCTAAGATAGAGAAGAGACAATTGTAGTAAATCCATTTAAACTAAGAGGAACTATATATCAACAAGCTTTCCTTGTTCTCATTTATCGCTTGAACAAAACTGCAAACTCATCTGCTTCTACTACCAACAAAGTACATTGTCTAATCTTACACAAATCAGAGAATATAAAATAAGGCTCCTTGGATCAAAATATTTTTGAAGGAATTTTGTAGGAAATGAATCCTATGAAAAATTTGCCAACATGGTCTTTTGGAACAAAAGGAATTAGTTCCCACAGATACTATGAAATGCCTTAGAAATAGCCAAAATCAGGATTAGTAAAATGAGGTTCAACCTCATCAAAATCTTTCTTTGTCTATCTCTATCCCTCTCTTGTGCTCCATCGAAATGACTATTTATATGTAACTTTCTACGTCTTATCATTCATAAGATGTGAAGTGCTAAGGCATTCTACTCTTGCATTTTTTTTCAACTCCATGTTTTGAGAATCCTATGTTCTGAATGAGCCCTAAAACTGAAGAGCATCCTGCCTATCTTTACACACACAAAAATCTTATCAAAATAACAATAAAAAAAAGAACAAGTTGGCATGAAAATGGGAGATTGAGGAAATGTGCTTCATGCTAGCTTGTAGAAGGAGCATTATAAGAGGAAGGACCACAGACAGAAAAAGATAAGATGGTGGGCATCGGCTAATATCTGCCCATGCAAATATGCAATGCATGTCCAGCAGCATGTGCACACAACCATATCACACGGGTGTGTAGCTGCAGGCCGAGCCTACCACCAAACACCATCAGCAAGCAACAGCAACTGGGGACTGATCAAGCTAAGCCAAGTGGCTGCAGGCTGCAATATACAGTATATCATCTTCATTTTCTTCTCTTTCTTTTGGCCATCAACTGCATTCCACAACCACAAGAGGGAGAGGAGCAAAGGCAACAAGATGAGCATGAAGTGCAGCATATGCAGCAGAGAGTGCATGGATACATGTGAGAAAGAAAGGAGATTGTATCATCGGAGATTGTATCATCGTAGCTGAGCGAGGAGATCTTCTACCTTGGAATTAGCAAAAGCTACCCACCACCACCCGCATTCTTATCACAAGTTAATAAAGCTGCTACTGCATATGCAATTGCAGGGACCCTCCCTCTCCGATGAATTGAACAAATCAACTTAAGGTAGTTAACATTGCTGTCATGTGCCTTTAAGGTAGTTAAGGTTGTAAATGGCACTCGTGTAGATCAGATCATTAGGGCCAGGGTCTGTCTGAAACTAGAGATTCTTTAATTGCACACAGGAATCTTAAACAAATTTCGAAGGAATCCAGCAAATTCTTGCGTTTTACAGGTTAAACTCTTATGAAGTGGATTTCCTTATGTACTAACTGGGTTCCAATTTATGTTTCATTTTTGCTCAGCATTTAGTCATGGCACAAGATCACACCATGAATAAACTTTAGCACCAAAATTGTCACTATGTTTTAGCTGATGGCCTATATATAACTGTCAGGCTTAAAATACAGTAGTAATCCAGAGCAAAAGGTTAAGCTGGCCATGCGAGACAAAAGAAATAAAAAAGATGGCCGAGTAAAGAAATGGCTGGAGTACAGCAGTGACAGTTGAGGAGAACGTGCGAGGGCTCCGAGCCATGATCATTTGCTTACACATCATCCATATTTTACTTTCGTATGATAGAGATCATTTTTTCTTTCCCTAGGATAGTGATCCATTTTTCTCAGTAGTTATACGTGCTTGGAATTGCAGGGGAGTTGATTGAACAAGGAACGCCAAAGGCAAGATTCATCAGTATCGTTGTTAAACCTATTAATGGAGCCAATGATATTGTTGGATATAGACGTATAACTAATAGCATTTTTAGATGATTAGCGACTTTTTACAATACACATACCATAGGTGGCACTCGGCAGGGCAACCGTAAGTGGCTGAGCTCAAGTTATAGCCCGATCTGATCGGGAGTTGGCTCGTCATTTGGTTAAAACACATCATTCCTTTTTTTTTCTTTCTATCTTAATAACATATATGGTTGATCTCCTTTGGTCATCCTGGAAAAAAAACCCATCATTCAAACAAATAAAAATTTACTACTATCAGCCGAACTAGCATAGCATATTTTAGTTGTCACTATCTATAAGAAATACATATATCCTCTTTAACATTCAGATATGCTATTTTTTCATAAACTTTTCTACAATTCAATTGTATGCAAATCAAGTTGCAATTTAGAAACCGTATCAATGTAAAAGCGTCACTTGTGATTGAAGGTAGTGATTTTAAGTTATCTACTCCTATATAAAAAAGGAACCAGTAGTTACCTCATGATTAAACATGTGGGAATCCATCTCTCAAGCCGATCAGACAGATTGTCAGCGATTATTGTAGATAAATCATCCCTAGATGCATGCATAGCTACATGTCAACATGTAATGAGAAGGGTCATGATACGTGTGAAGCGATTGGACGGTAGCAGCTACGTGTACCTCCTTGTGATGGATTAGTAGCGACAAGTACACGATTAAGGAATTAATTAGGCCTGCAAGTGCGTGTCTGCACATGGTTGCAAGTTTTGAGAGTTCTTGGGATATGTTAATTAGTGAAGTAATTAACTGATGTGATATCATAATTAACTAGTCTGATCGATCCACGCCAAAAAGCTCTTCGCTGGAGGCTTTTAGGCCCTCCAATTTTGTGAGTTATGAGGTGAATGCTTAGCCACAGGACAAACTAAAGCTGACTTGCATTTTATTTTATTTTTGTTCAGTTCAGTTCAGTTGTGCATGCATGAAAAGAGGGATCCTTTGATGGCCTGATCAACTGTAAAATTGTTTATAAACATGGTTAGTAATATAGAAATGACAGAGATAGATTCCATGAGTTGGTACACTAGTGGAGCCTGACAGTGCAGTGGTAAAAAATTACAGGGTTTTCTGAACATTCTAAAAATCAACTCATAGGGATTATATGTTCTACATCTGAAAAAATAAAAATAAAATTCCAAGATGCGAAAAGATAAATGCTAGCTGAGATAAGTGTTTCAACTCTTTTCAGCACTGATGTTCTTGTACTTTAAAAAAAATCAAATCAACTAGATTTAATCTTACAAATTTTACAGGGAGTGGTAACATTAGAAAAATCAATCTTCTTCCAGAACATAGCGAATGTGACCATACCCATTCAGGAGATCACGGGTGTGAAGCTGGTCCATGAATTGATCTCACAGTGTATGATCATTTCTGATGTGGTAAAGGCCCCCATTTAACCTACACACTAGACAGACAATGATCCACGGATGAGGCTGCTGCCATGCCAACCTGATTCTCAACGGTTTCCTCACTGACAACTTGGCTCCAGCAGCATCATCCTGTCTATTTCTACATGCTAATTAAGCATGGGACCGGAAGGGGAAAAACAGCAAAGAGAGAGTGATTGAGGATTCCATTTGCATTCCAGTCCAGGTCCGGCCCCATGAAATGAAACCAAACCAAACAGTAGTACAGGATTCCAGGTGTGAGATGAGACGAGATGGCATTTCTGATAATACTAATAAGTGACCATGGGCTCTGCGACAGTCGTCAGATGCGGTCGTTGGATTATGCAGCAGCTCGATCTCTTCACCTTGCCCCACAGGATCGCATTCGCATGGCGACACCATCAAAACACTTGCACAGTTCTTCTTTTTTTTCTTTTCATGTCACGCTCTGCCTTCAAGTTCAAGTTTCAACTCCACTCCATATACAGTTCAGTATTCCAAAATTCCAATTCATCACAGGGCCAAGCTACATTCTCAGCTACACAGCTTGGAACATATGAAAACAGACTGGATCTCATCTTTAGCAGTAACTGCAAAGGATAAAACCTAAACTCTGTACAACTGGGACTAGAAAGTGCATGTCTCCTCCAAGAAAAAAAATGAAATGGTGTACCAAACAGAACAGACACTCGAGTCCATCAAGTCACGCGTGTTCATAACACGTAGTACTGTTCTATTTACCATAGCTCTGCAGGTCCATTCACATGTGAGCAAGATAGAGTGATAAACACACAAAAGCTACTAGACAGGTGTCACAGTCCAAAATCAAAGCCAAGCCAAACCAGGCCAATATATATTGGCAGGCAAATCAAGTAATCAGCGGCCAGAAACAGTGTAAGTTGCTTACAGGAGAGCAGGCACAGGCTGCCCCAGAGCCTCGTGCCCCGGCTGCTCATCAGTGTGCTACTGTTTAGAGATCACAGGTAGCACATACCTTTCCATGGCGATTAGCGTGTACCACACTGAACCAGCAGACTGCGACCATTTGGCAGCCAGCCGCTCCTTGCAACCATTTTGTCAAGGTCCAGTGATTCACACATCAATGTGTATCATAATAAAGATCCCAACGTGTCACCAACCCAGCCTTGAAAAAACATCCAGATTCCAGACACAGTTGCTGTCACCGACCCACACAAATATCAGTTGCTCAGTTCCAGATCATAACAGAAGTGTACCAAAATATATGAGAAAAGGACTCCGGGATAAACACCCGATCCTTGAATACGATCAGTCCATCTTTGAATGCCCACGGCGGGGGTTTAGCGCCGCGAATGATGTCGTCGCGAAGGCTTGCCAGGGCTGGAGTAGAGGCAACCTCGCGGCGAACGTCGTCGAGCAGCGAGAAGTGCGGCGCCGATAGAACAAACGCTTCCGCCAAGTGTTCGTCGCGGCGAGATAGGGCGTCGGCGACGACATTGGCCGTTCCAGGCTTGTACTCGACGGCAAAATCGAATCCCAGCAGCTTGCTCGCCCAATGATGCTGCGGAATGGTCGAGAGGCGTTGGTCGAGCAGGAACCGCAAGCTATAATGGTCCGTGCGAATGATGAAGCGGCGGCCCCAGAGGTACGGTCACCAGTGACGGACCGCCTTGACGAGGCCGATCAATTCGCGCTCGTAGGCGGCTAGCTTGGCGTGACGGGGGGCGATGGGCGTGCTGAAGAACGCGACTGGACCGCCGCCCTGGTGGAGCACGGCGCCAAGGCCCGTACCCGACGCGTCGCATTCGACGATGAAGTCGCGGTTGAAATCCGGAAGTTGAAGGACTGGCGCCGCCGTCAAAGCGTGTTGCAGCTTGCGGAATGCCGCTGCCGCCTCGTCGGACCAACGGAACCCCTCTTTACGGAGGAGCGCCGTCAGTGGCGCGGCGATAGCGCCGAAGTCGCGGATGAAGCGGCGGTAGTAGCCGGCGAGGCCCAAGAAGCCCCGAACAGCGCGCACCGTCTTGGGCACCGGCCAGTCCAGCACAGCCTGGACCTTGCTACGGTCCATCGCCACACCGTCCCTGGAGAGGACATGCCCCAGGTATGCGACGGAGGTGAGGCCGAACTCACACTTGGAGCGCTTGAGGTGGAGGCAATGATCCTGCAGCGTTTGCAACACCGTGCGTACATGGCGGAGGTGCTCCGACCAAGACGAGCTGTATATTAGAATATCATCGAAGAAGACGAGCACGAACCGGCGGAGGAACGGAAGCAGCACGTCGTTCATCAAGGCTTGGAATGTCGCCGGCGCGTTCGTGAGTCCGAAGGGCATCACCAAGAACTCAAAGAGGCCTTGGTGGGTGCGGAACGCCGTCTTGTGCACGTCGTCCGGATGCATCAGCACTTGGTGGTAGCCGGAACGCATATCCAACTTGGTGAAGAATTTGGCGCCGCGCAGCTCGTCGAAGAGTTCCTCGGCGACCGGGATCGGGAACTTATCCTTGATGGTCTTGTCGTTGAGGGCGCGGTAGTCGACGCAGAAGCGCCAGGAGCCGTCGCGCTTCTTGATCAGCAAAGCCGGGGACGAGAATGCCGACGAGCTGGGTCGGATGACGCCGTGGCGGAGCATATCGTCGCACTGTCGCTCGAGCTCATCTTTCTGGATGTGCGCGTACCGATACGGGCCCACCGCAACAGCCGATACCCCTGCCTCCAGTCGTATGCGGTGGCAGAGATGGCGTTCTGGCGATAGTCCGTGCGGCTCGGTGAAGAGGTCTTTGAAGACGTCGAGCAGATCGGTCATGAGGTCGCCCGGCTGACCGTCGATGGCGGCAGCATGGGCGGGCGCCGGTGCAGCGTCGATACTTGTCCACGTGACGCGGTCGTGGGCGGGTCCGAAGGCGAGGGATTGTCGAGAAAAATCCCATAGCGTCGGTCCGAGGGTGCCGAGCCACTGTGCACCTAGCACAATGTCGTAGCCGCCAAGCGGGAGTGCATAGAAGTCGATGTCGAACTCGTGCGAGCCGATGGAGACGCGCTGTGGCGGGCACCTGCCTGGCGACGGCACGCGATCTCCATTGGCCACGGCTACGCTGAGGCCGGGGCGGCGCTGTAGAGGGACGCCAGCCTGGTGCGCGATGGCATCGTTGATGAAGTTGTGTGTTGAGCCGGAGTCGAGGAGGGCGACGAGTTCCTGCGAGCCGAGACGAGCCCACACCTTGATAGTATTGAACTTAGGAGCAGAGATACTAGCCAGGGCGTGGAGGGAGATGCTCGGCTCGTCGAGGGTGATGGCGTGTGCTTCTGGCGTGGAGTCCTCCTCGTCCTCGGTGTCTTCCGGGAAACTGATAACCTCGATCACGAACGACTTCTTGCACCGGTGGCCTGCGACGTACTTCTCGTCGCAATTGTAGCATAGCCCTTCGGAGCGTCGTTGGGCCATCTCGGCTGGAGAAAGTCGCTTGCGGGGCAGAGCCGACACCAGGGGCTGCTTGCCAGCAGCGGTCGATGCGGCAACATCGGCCGAAGTGGTCGATGCAGATGCGGATGCGGCCGACGACGCCGGCAGTGAAGGCCGCGGCACTCGTCCCGTGCGCGGCGCGGATGGATCAGTCGGGCCAAGGGTGGCGCGCTGCTCGTACGCGCGTGCCAGCATAATGGCGTCGTCCAGCGATCGCGGGCGGCAGAGGGCGACATCAGTCTTGAGCGGGTTGACGAGGCCAGCCGTGAAGAGCTGAACCTGCTGGGACTCGGATAGCTCGACGTCGCGGCACGCCAAGGCGAGGAAACTGTTGACGTAGTCCTCCACCGTGCCAGTGCGACGCAGGGCCGTGAGCTCGCCTAGCGGGCTGTCCGTCATGGGTGGCCCGAAACGAGTGTGCACCAACTGGACGAACCTCCGCCACGACGGTTCGCCGGAATTGAGCTCAATCCTGTAATACCACAACTGGGCGTCCCCGATTAGATGCAATGAGGCATACCACACCTTGCGTGTCTCCGGCGTTTTCTGTCCGCGGAAGGTCTCGCAGCGGTTCAGCCATGGCAGCGGGTCGCCCTTGCCGTCGTACGTCGGGAACTCGAGTTTGGCACGAGGAAGGAAGCTGTTGTCGATTGCGGTGTCGTCGCCGTGTCGGTCGCGTCGCGAGCGTGCGTCAGCGTCATCTTGTGGCGGTGTGTTGTCGCGTGGCTGACGCGAGACCGAGCCAGAAGGGTTCGTCGTGGCCGCGCGCTGGGAAGCCTCGACGCGCTCGACGGCGAGGTTGAGAGCGCGGACTTGCTCCGAGTACTCGAAGGCGGACGCCTGCACCTGCGTGACGCGATCAGACAGCTTGTCGAGTTTTGCCGCGAGCGGCACGAGGGGCTCCAAGGTGCTCATCTTCCTGGCGAGATCGGAGATTTGCGCCGCCATGGAGGTGAGGTTCTTCGCGATTTCGTCGAGTTGATTCTGAGTAGAGGCCATTGGATCGGAACCAGAGGAATCTGATACCAAGTTGTCACGGGCTAGGAGATTGGAAGGAGGGTTACGGCGAAGGGAGTATTTGAACGAAGTAACCGGGCGTGGTCCTGGACCTCGCCGGCGTGGAGGTGCCGTGATCGGCGCCACACTAGCAAGGCAGGAAAGGAGCAATAGATTGGTTTTCTGATTGCTTGTTTATTCCATGCGCCATACTGGCCCTTTAAGTAAAGATTACAATGCCATCTAACAAACTCTTAGAGATAAAGATCAAACTAACAAACTTTAACAGACTCTGAAACAAACGAAAACAAATCCTGCATATCTACTGTTTGCCGTTTTGCTGTTGTCGCTGATCCTTGCGCCTGCGGACGTAGTGCATTCCCCACATGACAGACTCTCATAAGATGATGCCACATATACTTGGCAACTCCGAAATAAAGCATCAGGAATAGTTAATCAAGCTTAACATTCATACTCTACAACAATCCTGAACAAAAAAAAAACTACCCATCTCAAAATAACACAGCTGGTATTGGCAGCCACAAAGCCCCATATACAGGAAAATAGGGTCTCCAGCATCACCCAAGTCAGCACCATCATCAGCATCTGAAGTTTCCTGAGCTATATCAGCAACATGAGAATAGTTACCACAAGACTGTAAAATTGTGGATCATCTAACCGCTGCATTTGTGCCAGAAGGTTGTGAACTAAACTTCTGGGCAATAGCATTAATGCAAGACCTGTTCCTAAGTTACTCTCCATTGACAAAGCTTTTACTGTCGTAGTACTTCTTCTCACTGGCTTCTTTCTTCTCGTTCCGTTTCTGCAAAAGCAACGCCACAGACTAAAAATGAACAAAACCACAGCACATCAATGGACCAGAATAAATAAATGCAAACTACACCAAGTCCCCACACCAAACAACATGTTGCTGAGCGTAGTTATAGCATGAAAAAATTGGTCCCAGAGAAACAGATAAATATTTAAAGCGCATATGCAAAGGGCTTCAAGAAAACACTAACACATTATCACAAACATCGGTTTATAATAAATCATGTACACACATCATTAATATGAAGTAGACAACAGGCAAATCGCATTTATTTGACTGGGATTATGTACTTTACTACATGCTGCATGCACCAAACAGAAAAACCAGACTCCACCAGCCAATTTGACGTAGCACCAATATACCATGTTACATACCTGGTAGGCTTCATGGTTAGCAACTATCCTCCTTATGATAGTACTAGTAGTGATGTCTAAAGGGCTCTCCAGCCTACGGTAGATGCCCATAGCCCTTGGAACAGCATATGGATTTAAATCATCCTGATAGGTGCACAAGTAACAGTTGTTAATGATCAATGCTATACATCTTTATATTCTAAGAAAATGTATTGTGTAAGTAACCTTCATAAAGTCCATATTCTCAGCAATTGTCCCATGAACAACCAACGAAATATTAAATGTGGTAATCTGCATAGAAAAAGGAAATTAGCTACCTCCAGCCACACTGCAAAGACACATACCCTGATAATCATAAGTAACAGTTAAGGGTATGAATTTCAGATAGTCAATTTCAATGATAATATTGCATACAAATACATAATCTGGTTCTTAACATATCTAACGGAAACTTAGACTACATCAAATTAAACTTTTGGAACCAAGCCAGCTCCTAAACTTTTAGTTTATTTGACTGACAAAATTAACGCTACGTGCAAATCGTGCATCTGCAAAAAATCATGGATAAGCACAAATCAGACCATATCTGTTAATCTGTATCTAAAATCAATAATAGCTGTGAGCAAGGCTTTTGCTGGCGTAGCATAAATATCATGTTCAATCTTTGAACTGTGCATGCATAGCTGTGCCATGTTCAATGAACTATTACTAGCAGTTGCATCAAGCAATTCCTACTACAGTAAGAGAGCATCATGATAAAGTAGAACAGAAAACTAACCATATCTTTCGAAACATCCCATGGAGCACCAATGATCACTTCATCAACATAACGGCAAGCCAAAACACTCAAACTTCTCTCATGGAGGTTCATGATTGGGCGATGTGGTCCTCTTGTTGAACTGGCAAATACAGTAAACACCAAGTGCCCCCAAAAACAGAATGTTATGACGACGGAATTGAGTAGAGATGCTATGCTTCAATACAAATACAACCTGACTATAAACTAAGATGCAAAACTGAAAAACAGTACAAGCATTGTAACTTGGAAAAATTGAGACAGTGAAAAAAAAAACCATCATTATTACCTTATAGTCTGGTCTGTGTGAATACCCACAAGCAGGAAATCTCCAAGCTCTCGAGCGAGGCGCAATATCTAAGTAGAAGAAACTATAAATACACAGGAAGTCCAAATCACTATGTCTTAGAAAGATCATTTCAGTTTGCACCCTTGCAATAAGAAAAAGAAAAGGAAAAGGAAAACCACAGGTAAAACCATACAACCAACAAATGCATAGCCAAGTTGCTCTACATGCTGAGACAGACATTTGACATTGCGTTTACCTCAACATGTCCAGCATGGAATAGATCAAATGCACCATCTATGTACACTATCCGAGAATCTGGACCTGGACCCTGCATAGGTAAAGCTGACAGTCAACAGAAAGAATAAGTGGCCGTACTCAGCAAGTAGTTTTATCTAGTGAATAGTATCAAATGTAAACAGCTTGAAATAAATGATAAACGACTAATGCAATGATTAATTAATAGTTGAGCTTAGCAGCATGTTAGTTCTTGTTGGAAGTTCAAGGATATAACTTATATTCTTTATTAATATAACCTCAGAACAAATCTAAGTTGTGAAATAATCCATTTGTCGTCAGGTCATTCAACTCAATGTTTACTAGATAAAGAATGCAACCAAACAACAAATGTCTTTCAAATGGCAAAAGTAATAGTAAAATGGTAACAGGATCCTGAAAGCCAAATAACTCGTGCTCTACTGTTTAAAGGCAAAAAAAAAAAACCATCTATGAGGCATTTTTATGCTGTCAATGTTTAATTCATGCCTTCAAAAAATATGATATCTCAAAAAAAAATGACATTCAAAGTTTTACATGAGCAGTTCAGAAAATGATCCTCCGTGAAAGAATGTAAAGAGCTGTACCCTGCTATTTGAGAACTGAACTATTCTCCGAGATGTAGGAAGAAAATGAGATATCCTAGTTCCACTTCCAGATCCACTATCATCAATTTTCTGGCCATGCCCGTGACTGAACTGCCTTTGTAGTGAAGAGTGGTTGTGACTATCAGAAGCTGATCTCTCTCTAACACAAAGAAGCATTCTTCCTGTAGTTTATTTACTAGAAAGATGAGCTGGGCAGTTAGCATGAAAATAAAACCTATTCATGACCATAAGCAATTTATTGATACAGAAGGGAATTATGTAGTTAATTGTCTGGAGAGCTTAATAGCTTATCAGTTCATCATATGATAATAAAGCAATAGTTTGAATGTTTTCCTAAAGTACCACTTCAGGACAAATCAGGTGGGCATTGATCTTGTCTACAAACAATTATTTGGTTGACCTATAAATAATTGTAATGTTGGAAATTGCTATGGTATTGAGCCAAAGAAATAACTTGTAAAGTTGTAGTACATAACAAAAACCATATATTCCCTTGCGATGGAAGTTTTAGGTTAAATTTCACTATGAGTAAAAACTTTAATGATTAAAACAGAAAAGAACAGAATCAATACCAACAATGTCTGTCGTTGACACTCCTTCGGTTCTTTTAATCTGCTTATATCGACCAACCTTTTTGGCAAGAGCATATGCATCAGTACCATCTGGGAGCAGACAAGGATCATCGCCATGAATGATATAATCTATATTATACTCATTGAATAATTTATTCATAAAATCTTCAGTTATGGCGTAAGGTGCATCTGGAATGACATCGTGCACCCATTTTACAGCACGGACCATTATCAACCTGTATATCAGAAAAAGAAACATAAAAAAATCATTCCAAATAAAATGGTTTTTTTAAGTAGAAAATATGAGTATATGATAATACATAATACATTCAAAGAAACAAAACTGCAAGTCTAAAAGGACAAAAATGCCCAAAATTCCATACGGCCTGGGGTCACACGTAAGATTGGTAACACAACTAAAAATAGAAAGAAAAAAAAACCAATATGTGCAGTAACTCCTAAACTGGAAAACCAGACACAATGAAAGTCAGTAAACAACAAAAGAAAACCAGCAAAAATAACAAATTTATAGTGTTGCTAAACTACCATGATGATGATTAAATGAGGAAAAAAAGGTTGCAGCGCCTAACATCTAAAATGCCACACATACCATGTCATATGTGAGCAGCTTGTGATTATCAACAAGACAAAGGAAAGCAAGGAATCACTTAGCAGGTACTTAAGGCAAACTAAGCAGAACCAAACCTGCAAGTCTAGTATGGTTTATCGTTAGGAGTTAATAAGTTTTTTGGATTTGTATGAATGTACAGACCAAAAAGTCACTGTTTAGTACTTTTCAGCGGAGCAAACCTTTTTTTTTTCTGTGTTTCTCCTTCAGGCACCCAAAAGAAATAGAGCTAATCTTTTTGGTTACTGCACAGATATTGAATCCATACTCTCAAATGAATTAGAGAAACATATGCAGCTCATCCACCACCAAAGTTATCAGAAACTTGGTCCGACGACTAACTACAACCCACATGTCACAACATTTCCCTTAGCAATTTCAAAGTTTCCAGATAGAATTACTGGACTAGTGCTCAAATTAAGACCGACGGACACATATATGATGTGTGGGGGGAAAACGTTGCATCTTCAAAAACTAATCTGAGGATATCCCTATAAAAGCGCTCCACTAGTAACTTGTATTGTGCAACAGTACATTGAACGCAACTAAAGAGTCGAAACTGAAACAAATCAGCGTGTGATACAAATTAAGTTATGAAATAGTAAAAGCAGTAACATATTCCCCATGATTAGGACAGAATCAGTGTGCAGCTGAAATTGAAACAGAAGATAGGAAGTTTGATGCAACAGCTTCTCAGCTAACCCATTAAACCAGCAAAAGATCGAACAACCCACAACAGTTACCCCCAAGAACTTGAAATGTCCACAGAAAACTGCAGAACTAGTGCACAAATTGAAACTGACGGGTACATATGTAGAGGAGAATTCACTACCTATAAGGCTAATTTGCCATTTTGCCTGAATCATTATTAAAGTGCACAACCAGTATCAGGCAACAGTTTGGTAGGATTACATCGTGCATCATTCAAGATTTTTTTTAAAAAAAAATGACGAAGGGTATGGAGTGAACCTCTCGTGGAGCGGCGTGACGGGCGGGCCCTTGTTGGCGGTGATCTCGTCGTCGCTGACAACGCCGACGATGAGCTCGTCCCCGAGGGCGTGCGCCTGGCGCAGCGCGTTGCAGTGGCCGTAGTGCATCATGTCGAAGCAGCCATCCATGTAGACGCGCACGGGACGTCGGCGTCCGCGGCGGAACCTGCGGCGGAGCGCGTCGACGGGCGGCAGGGCGGGAATGGCGACGGGCCCGGCGAGGTGGAGCGCGACCACGGACGCCCCCAGCACGATCCCGCCGATGACGCATGCCGCCACCAGCTTGGCGCTGCTGCTCCCCGCCCCCGCCTCCATAATGAATTGGGAGATTGAGCAGTGCGAGAAGGAGAGAGACAGGAAGGAAGAGGGAGATTGGTCGTGCGCGAGAGAGCGTGGGAGGAGGGATCTAGGGTTAGGGATTGGGGCGCGAGGGTGGAGGAGGTATCGCCATTCGAGGGGAGGGCGCGACGCGAGGAGATCAGGGAGATGCGGGAGGGGAGAAGCCGCCTCTGGTTCTCTCTCTTGTCTCTCCGAGCTCCGCGAGAGAGATGAGAGATGAGGGGATTCGCTGCCACGTGGGACCGACGAGTCAATTAGCGGGGCCCACATGGCGGTGTGACGTGGCATAGCAGAAGAAGTTGCCAGGTTTGGCCCACGCGTCGGGGAGGGAGCTGTTTTTATGTACTCTGTACTAATCCACGTAAGGCGTCGAAAATAAATACGACATTAGCATGAGGATGAGGGTTTATGGATTGGTTCAGCTAACCGTGTTAAAGAATGAACGTCAAGAAATTCAACCGATGGACAACGATATGTGTAGCTAAATATACTTGATTGATTATGACGTTGGATATGCTCAATATATGCTGCTTCAGTTGCAGCCAGGAGCCAGCATTAGGGCATAGGGCATGTACAACGGTTTTTATTAGTGGTCTCTTTCTATTACTATGCAAGTAAATTTGATGACATGGAAGAAAGAGAAAGGAGGAGAGAAAAATATAATTGTTATGCATGACAACGGTTGAGAGTCGACTCTTAGCATTTATTAGAGTAAATTTTGTTGCATGGTGGTTAAAAAAAGAAAACAAGAGTAAGAAAAAAAATATTTTGATACATTAATGGTAGAGACCATATTGTCTCTAACTGTTGTATAACGTTAGATTCTATATAGTGTAGAGCTCATATAGTCTCTATCTTTGTACATGCCCTTAGATGCGATGTGAGCCCCCATTCCGTATGCAAAGATATCTCAAGTGGAGGATCTCAAAACCTGAAAATGACACTTTTTGTACGTCTTTGGTTCTGTTTTCTACCTCAAACATGCTACTTAAAGAATACTACTATTTCTTTGCAAAAGGAAAATTGAACTTGATAACCAAAGAATACAAGTATAATTCAGCTCAGTGGCTAAAAAGTTCTCTCCCTGAGACAAGTATGAGTGAGATTAATTCCAACCCAATGGTCAGAGACCACATCACCATACGGCAAACTAACTACGAAATCAATATCTTTGGAAGCCGGTCCAATCTGGGAATTTTGTGTGGTTGTTACTAAAACCCAGCTTCTTCTTCTTCCTCCCTCATTCACAGGCATAGCGTTTTGTTTTCTACTCATTTATGGCGTCGCGCTTGTATGCCATGCTACAAACACGAAACACCAGCAAAATATCATGCGTGCTGGCAACAGGGTAACAGCGAAGAAGAAACACAGTGATTAGCATAAAAGGAAGGGCTTTTTCTACAGCAAACTGAATTTACAACATGTTAAAAAACGAGTACACTACACAAACAGGATGTCAGCAAAATACAGACAATTCCGTCCAAACTGCGGTCAAAGCGCCATCTCTGCTTGAAGTTTGGTCAGTTCAGCCAAATCATTGGCTGGTTGAGTAGTCGTAACTCTCGCTGAAGGTTCCATACTTGTCCTCTGAGGTGGTTCAGGCAGATCATTCTCGAGCTCTTCCTCCTCTAGATCTTCCAGCTCTGCTTCTAGCTCATCCTTCATCAGAATAAATAAATAAACAAAAACCAAGTCAAGCATCTTATGAAAATTGACACCGTGCCTGTTTAAATGCATACATGTATTTACATCTCCGTGGAATGGCTATTTTGAATTACATAACTTGATCTTGCACCACTTGTTAACTGACACCAAAGGGGAAAAGGAAATATGAGCAGTACCTCGTCAAAATCAGCAGAAGCGCCAATTGGTGTTGCAAGGGCCTCCTGTATCTGCCTCATATTCTCTGTGTGTTCATTTGCCTCTTCAATGGCATTTTCAATGTCATCGATACTCCTGTGGAACAATCGTCGTTACTTACCAGTTTATCTAAGTACATGTTATTTTAAATTAAGTTTCAACACATTGGCTACATCTAAGCTAGAAAGATATATTATGTATTCATAAATGGACATTGTTGCTGAATTTAACTATGCATGCTGTAAGTTTGAAACCATATTTAAGTTCACATTGTGCACACAAGCTCAAGAAGACACTGCTAGGCTAGTACCTTTTCGCGTCATATTACTCAATTTCAGAAACCATGATTGGAAAGAAGAGAGCAAACACAGACTTACACTGACTGGTGAATAGCTTTGACAGCAGATGATCCAGAGCGCAAAGCATCAACAGTATCTGTGGTTGCCTTTGCACTCTCAAGCATTATTATCTAGCATACCAAAACAGACTACTTCCTGTCAATTCATTTCAACCTTCGAGAATATCGAAATGCTTCAAAATTCAAGATTAATATGCGCACATATCTTTCATCACCTGATCATGAACCCGTAATTGGAAGTTTGCTAGCTGCTCAATCTGTGTTTCATACAACTTCTTTTTCTTTAGACATTGAATTGCAGCTGCAACAAACAGGAAGTTGTTTGTCATTTAACTAAGAGAAAAGTACATTTTATTATTTTAAGTCCCTGAACTCTATCAAAGCCTAAAATTCGTCCCTAAACTTCAAAACTGGACATTATTCATCCCTCAACTCTTTAAACCTTAATTAACAAAGTCATCACAAGCTTGAGAAACATTTTTTTCAACATTAAGGAACCATAAGTTCATAACCATATATTCAGGGAATGGTATATCCACATATGCAAGCATACTAACCCACAATTTTTCTCCCATCTTATACGTGAGGTATGGATTATGTGCAAGACATGAACATGGGAGATTGGTATTTGACCAAAACACAATGGTCACATATTGCACAACCAAACATATTTGAGAAAAGTTGTGAAATTCTTCAAGTGTTAATGCATAATCCAAAAAAAAAAAAACAACCTTAGGTACAGCAAAATTATCACAAAATTGTAAGACATGCGCAGTATGTTTCTTGACAAACAAATAAGTTTCTTCGACGAAATGCCTACCGCTTTTGTTCTTAGCTTTTGTATAGTCCTTAGCTCTTTCGACTTCTGCAGAAGCCTTTTTCTGAAGGAAACACTCTTTCTTCTCCAGCATTTCTAGAGTCTACACATTTATATCGTATTAAAAATAAACAACTGCAAATGGTAAAAATAAGATAGCAAAATAAACATCTTCGGCAATATTCATAACTCAGAGCAACTTAAATTTATCCAGTTAATTACCTAGTATCAGTTCGTCAACATATAAGAGAAATGTCAACTTTATTTCAGTTAAGTTTATTATGAGAAATGACAACTTTCTTCAACAATACAGAACGTTTATTATGAGAAATGTTGCTTTCTGACATTAAGTATGAGACAGAATACAGTAATATAAGTCGCAGAGGCTGCAGCTCAGACAATACATCGACCTAATTTGAAGTTTATTTTTCCTTTTCGATATATGATTACCACTCCGGTCATTTTTTTGTGTGCCAAAACATACTTTATATCAATGCCATCAGAAGTGTCAGGATCAAATACTTTCTTTTATTATGTCCTTAAAACATAAGGTTCTGTCAAAAAATTGACTAGGCAATTCGGCTGACCAAACCTCAAATTCAACTAAGTAAAATCTTCTAGACCAATGGTAGGAAATGGTCAAGATAAACAGATATCTAGTTTTGTCCATGTCAAAAAATAACTTAACAGTATTTTTATTTCATACTTTCTTCTAGAAGCCCATTGGGAACACGAAACATTCACATTTCTGCATTCAATATAAGATGAACAAGGTTGCTTCATAAGATTGTTTCCATATTTACTTGGGTGATGCATAGTAATGAGGATCTGCATTACTTCCAAGTGGTTAATTCCTAATTCTAGAGTCTACACCTTTTTATTAACAAAAACTAATTAGAGATATCTCCAAATTGTGCTTCCTATCTTGTTGACAGTTGCTTAACACGATACCCCTATAGCAGATAGATTTCTTCTGAGGAAACTTAAGTAAAGAAAGCAGCAATGAAAACTAGCAATAATAAGCAAAAGGAAAAGGGATAAACAACCTCATGAAGCCTATCCAAAGTGGGGAGGGCAGAGGAGGCAGCCTCCTTCTTCTTCTTGCTCTTGGGCTTTGATAGCAGTTTCTTCAGCATCTTCTTGTAACACTCACTTGATCTTCAATCTCGGGTGACGATAGCCTGTGTGGGAATAAAGAGGTGAATGATGAATGTATATAGCCTCTCCAGTAGGATTGAAGATTAAGAGAGGGGAAGGGGAAGCAAAGGGAAAGGTGGTTGGAAGCAGATTCCTTGAGAAAAGTAGGAAGGAAAAGGCAGAGATGGCCAAGGAAGATAGAGAAGGGCATGTCTGGTTGTCTACTTATGAAAAAGAAAGGATGACAATATGGTGAGGTCACTATTTTGAGATACATGCTTGACTTTTTGTTTATGACAACTTATTTTTAGAAATAAATATATCTTCAGAGACAAAAAAAATGAAGTTTTGTTCGTACAAGCGTAAAACAACATAATTATAGTGCTCAACACTGTAAAACCTCGAATTTACAACTAGTGGAGATTTTATGCATAGTAAAAGATGAACTGAATAAAGTTCATGTCAAGACCTTCAGCAAGGCCCTTCCCAAAAAAAAAAAAGATTTGCTTCCTCCGGTTCATATTATAAGTAGTTTGACTTTTTCGTAGTACAATTTCTTTAGGTTTGACCAACTTTATAGGAAAAATTAGCAACATTTATAGCACCAAACTAGTTTCATTAAATTTAGCATTGAATATATTTTGATAATATATTTGTTTTGTATTGAAAATGTTAGTATATTTTTCTATAAATATAGTCAAACTTAAAGAAATTTGACTAAGAAAAAAGTCAACGACGTATAATATGAAATAGAGGAAGTAATAGTAAAAGGACTGAGACAATTCTGCTGTAAGTAGTAAAGTACAACGGTTTTATTTAGAAGACAACCAACACTTTGAGCTTATCAGAAAGTGTGTATTAGGTATGTTGGATTAGGTTTGCCTTGCAGCCTAGATATTTTGGCATGATGTTGCGTTCACGATTCAAGTGGTTAGTTGTTCGTACTTTACATAGGTAATCTTGACAACAGTTGTGATTTTCTGTGGTCTGCATCCTACACAATACTTTATAAGTGGTTGACCTGCTGTTTTTCCATTGCATGCAGTGATGATTAAAACTTGTTAATTGAACTTTTTGCCATTTTACTAATGTGGGTGAACTGCAGCTTCCTAAATTTGCCATAAAACTAAAAGCAACATAAAGCTGTATTATTAATCCATTTTTTTAAAAAAAACTGAAGGATCTAACTTCTGCAAGCAAGTTTTTTTTTACAACTTCTAGATGCCCCAGCTACTCCCCCTGTTCATCTGTTTGGCTGCAAAATTAGCTGAGGGACGGCTCTCCCAACTCCCAGGTCCCACCATAAGAAGAGAACAGCAAACACTGACGAATGTAAAAAAAAAAAAAAACCAAAACCAAAAGGGAGGTAGCTCAAGAATAGGCATGCAAGATGGAAATGCAAATCTGAAACATCCACATGGTATTCCCAGACCTAGGCAGTATATTAACGCGAGGAATAGAGGGGGGAAAAGAAGCATACCAACCTTGACCTTGGCTACTGGCTGGCTAAGTGGCTAGCACCGCATTGAGTGACGGAGCCGTACAGCCGCACAAGCCTGAGGCCTCCGCTGCGCCGCCCGCGGAAGAAGAACAAGTCCGGTCCGGATGCGCTGTTAACAACCTCGGCGAGTCGCCCTAGACCCTAGTGCACTGGCTGGCTGCGGCTCCGACTCCTCTTGTCTCTGCGGTGGCCTGAGCCGGCCATGGTCATCTCATTCTCATCGGAAAGGGAAAGGGAAATGGACTTTCTATTATCTGGGCCCAGCCTGCCCACCTTCCCTCTCGAATAAATAGCCCATTTATAGCCCACGATTGCACGTTCCACAGCCCGCGCTCTTCCTCTCATCTCAGAATTTTTTTATTAAAATATTTAAAAATTATTTTCTATTCGGAAAATTTACAAAAACTAGTTGTCCATTGCCCTCTGGGAGGGCGATTTTGCCGAAGTGGCAGATAGCCATTGGCCCTCCTGTAACGGCCGGCCACTGAGGAGAGGAAATTTGCAGGCGGCCCCTTCGTCGCCCTTTGGGACAGCGATTTTTTTTCTGTGCAAGGGGCCACCTGCAAAAGGACCCCTGCACAGTAGAAATCCACTCGACTTCTCCATCCCTCTCTCCTCCTCTTCCAAATGCTCCTCATCACCTCCACCACCCGCACCACCACCCTCCTCTTCTCCCCTCTCCGCCTCCCCACCTACATCTTCCAGATCCTTGCCGACTCAGTCCTCGGCCACCTCCCTCACTTGTCCAACCTTGTCTTCCCCATCCGCAACCTCTTCATCCTCGAGTCATGGCCTTTCTCGACCTCGTGTACTACACCTTCATCGTCGGCTTCAAGATCGAGGTCCCCACCATCATCCACGTCGGCATCCGCAGCTTCAACTTTGGCTTCACTATCAGCTGCACGCTCCCGCCCTTCCTCCTCGACGCAAATGAAATAACGTTTTTCAAAATCACATAGATTCTAGCACAAAATTAGGTACTACGCCATCCAAACTAGAATAAAAGCTCATTGGCTACCAATTCCAAGTGTATAGCACCAATGCACATAGTATTCTATTGTTCATGTGAAAACATCATACACCAAGTGTGGAACCAATTAAAACACATAAAGATAACATGCATAATGTTAAACAATTTCTTATGGTTAAAAACTATATCATTACGGAAACACCAGATTGACCAATATAGCACACTAGCTCCAAATAAAATCTTTTTTGGAGGGGCCTAGGCACTCCCCAGCCAATCACCAAAATATATTTTGCATTGTGAGGAGGGGGATATTGAAGACAAAGAAGACACATCGCCAAGCAAAATATGCAACGTGGTAGTAAAAAAAAAGATATTGGAGTAAAAGATTCCCCTCCATTTTCTCTATGTGAGGTTATCTTTCGTTAAGATTATTTTTTTAAAAGCAACCACATAAACACTTTGATTTTTAGTGGTGCCTTTTACCTCCCATTGTTGTCCTTTGATAGGCATGCAACCCATCTAAACCTCTGCATGCAAAAATCCAAAAATAGCACACTCCTCTTTCCCTTCCCTCCCATCAAATGAGAGATCGACGATGTATCTTATCACTCCTCCTCCCCTCACCTCACCTTACCTAAGAACGCCACCCATTGCCGGAGTTGATACCAAACAAGGAATTCATCAATGGCAGCGCATACAGTGACGGACCCACTGGAGGAGCTATGGAACCACACGATGTCGATGGACAAGACGCACCTGATGTGCTTCTACCCGAGCAAGATCACCATGGGTGGCGTCTGGACGGGCGACAATCCGCTCGACTTCTCCATACCTCTCCTCCTCTTCCAGATCCTCCTCATCACCTCCACCACCCGCGCCGCCACCCTCCTCCTCTCTCCTCTCCGTCTCCCCACCTACATCTCCCAGATCCTCGCCGGCTTCCTCCTTGGCCCCTCCGTCCTTGGCCACCTCCCTCACTTCTCCAACCTCGTCTTCCCCGTCCGTAGCCTCTTCGTCCTTGAGTCCATGGCCCTTCTCGGCCTCGTCTACTACACCTTCATCGTCGGCGTCGAGATCGAGGTCTCCGCCATCACCCGCGCCGGCATCCGTAGCTTCGGCTTCGCCATTGGCTGCACGCTCCCGCCCTTCCTCGTCGGCGCTCTCACCGGCTACGTCGCGCTCAGCACTGACGACAAACACAAGGGTGACACGTTCCTCAACAAGCTCTCCTTCCCCATCTTCCTCGGCTCCACCTTCTCCTCCACCGCCTTCGCCGTCCTCGCCCGCAACATCGCCGAGCTGAAGCTTGCCGGCACCGACGTCGGCCAGCTCACGCTCTCTGCGTCACTCATCAACGACACCTTCGCCTGGACCGGCCTCACCGTCGCCACGGTGCTCGGCCACTCGCGCTGCACCATCACGCAGACCACGTGGACGCTCACGTCGGGCGTCGTCATCTTCGGCGCCAGCTACCTCCTGCTCCGCCCCATGCTCCTGCGGCTGGCGAGGCGCGCCGCCGAGGGGGAGGCGGTCGGCGAGGACCGCGAGTGCTGGATTCTGATCGGCGTCATGGTGGCGGCGCTGGTGGCGGACGCGGGGGGCACGCACGCCATATTCGGCGCCTTCGTGTTCGGGCTCGCGGTGCCCAACGGGCCGGTCGGGGTGGCGCTGGTGGAGAAGGTGGAGGACTTCGTGGTGGGCGCTCTGCTCCCGCTCTTCTTCGCCCTCAGCGGCCTCCGCACCGACACCGCCAAGATCACCAACATGCATTCTGCCGTGTTGCTCATGGTCGCTGCCATGGTCGCTGCGGTCTTGAAGGTCGTCGCCGCAATCGGCGTCGCCGGTGTGTTCGGCATGCCGCTCGGTGACGGCACGTCCATCGGGCTGTTGCTCAACACCAAGGGGATCATCGAGCTCGTCATCCTCAACATTGCAAGGAACAAAGGGGTAATCCATTTTAATTAATCGATCGCCATGTAGTGCATTGCATGTCGTGATTAATTAAGGGTAGGTAGCTTCTTGTGTTGTGTAGATTATGAGTGACCAGTCGTTCACGGTGCTGGTGTTCGTGTCAGCGCTGATCACGGCGATGGTGAGCCCTTTCCTGGGCATGGTGGTGAAGCCGGCGCGGCGGCTCGTGTTCTACAAGCGGCGCACGGTGGCGTGGGCTCACCCGGAATCGGAGCTCCGCGTGCTGGCCTGCGTCCACGTGCCGCGCGACGTGCCCGCGCTACTGACGCTCCTCGACGTGGTGACGCCGTCGAGCCGATCGCCCGTGGGCGTCCTCGCCCTCCACCTCATCGAGTTCGTGGGCCGCTCCTCCGCGCTCCTCCTCATCAACGCCTCGGCGCCATCGTCGTCCTCCTACGACGCCTCCGTCCACGGGCGCAGCCACACGGAGATGCAGTTCAAGCACATCTCCCACGCCTTCATGGCGTACGAGGAGCAGTCGGTGGGCGTGTCGGCGCGCACCATGGCCGCCGTCTCGCCGTACGCCTCCATGCACGAGGACATCACCTCCGCCGCGGAGAACCAGCACTCGGCGCTCATCCTGCTCCCGTTCCACAAGTACCGGTCGGTGGACGGCGGCCTGGAGGTGTCCCACCCGGCGATACAGCCGCTCAACTGCAGCGTGCAGAGCTTCTCGCCGTGCACGGTGGGCATCCTCGTGGACCGTGGCCTCGCGGCGGTGCCGGGTGGCGGGTACCGCGTGGTGGCTCTCTTCTTCGGCGGGAGCGACGACCGGGAGGTGGCGGCGCTGGCGACGCGGATGGTGAGGAACCCGACCATCGACCTGACATTGCTCCGGTTCGTCCAGAAGGGAGGAAGCTTCACGGCGAGCGAGTTCGACGCGCTGAAAGAGCGGAAGGCCGACGAGGGGTGCCTGCGCGACTTCCTGGAGAGGGCGAACGAGGGCGGCGGCGCGACGGTGGAGTACAGGGAGCGCGGCGTGTTCAACGCGAGCGAGATGGTGGGGGAGATACAGAGCGTGGAGGCCATGGGGAACAAGGACCTGTTCGTCGTCGGGAAGGTGCCCGGGGGGTCAGGGCTGACGGCGGGCATGGCGGAGTGGAGCGAGTCACCGGAGCTGGGGCCCATCGGCGACCTGCTGGCGTCCAAGGACTTCCAGACGACGGCGTCGGTGCTGGTGCTGCAGGCGTACGGGAGGCCGGCGGCAGTGGTGGGAGCGGGAGCGGGAGCAATGTCGGTGGATTTTGGCGGCGACAGCGTGGCGATGGCGGAGAGGACAGCCAGTGGGCGTAGGCCATGGGCACGACCGGGTGTATGATCATCGATCATCGGAGAATTTTTCTTTCTAGAATTGGTGACCGTTGAGATAGATGTAGGAATAGCTGATAATATGGTGTGGATAATTGCATATTATGGTATAAAATTTATACATAGTGCAAAGCTTAAACATAGTTCTTGGAAAAATAAAGCTAAATAACCATACACTAGCATGTTGTTAATCAAGCAGTCATCGTTGTGATGCAACATTTTGTTATTTAGAGGGCCTGAGGATGAGAACAAATGCAGGGAGGTTTGGAAATATCAGAAGAAACTCAGGAGCAGTTTCATTTTCAAAAATATTTGCAAAGTACTATGACGAAAATGACATTTCGCGCGTATAATAATGGTATGCATAGGCCTACTAATTTCAGACCCAATAAAATTGGAGTTCAAAACAAAAAGGAACAGTGGCAGATACGCACTGGGCTTAACTGGGAATAAGTTTACTTTTACTCCCTTCAGTAATGGCTGAATCTGATTCGTATATACCGAATATCTTGACCCCCAACTATTAAAACTGGTGCATTTTAACTCCCTTAGTGGTTTTAGAAGGCGGTTTCACTGACGTGGCACCTACTTAGCGGTATTGACCAGGTCTTCATTCCACGTGGCGTTGATGTGACGCTTATGTGGCATTAAAATCAAAAACATACGTGCAAGACTTATTTATCATTCACAAAAAGAATATTGTGGTAACCACTGATATGTAGAGCCCACATGTTATCCTCTCTCCTTCCCTTCTTCCTCCTCCTCCCCCCTCTCTCTTATCTCTTTTTCTCTCCCCCGGCCTTTCTTTTCACCTGGCTAGAGCGGCAATGGCGGTGAGGAGTGGCGGCAATGGTGGTGGGGACGGCAGTGGCCGCGGGTGGGGGAGGAGAGAGCTTGCCTCTGCGGCCGCCATGTAGACAACGTGGGCAGCGCCGTGGCCGCGACATGCCATGAGGGGGGAGCGC